AACCCTAAACCTAAACCCTAAACCCTAAACCCTAACCCTAACCCTAACCCCCTAAAACCCTAAACCCTAAACCCTAACCCTAAAACCCTAAACCCTAAACCCTAAACCCTAACCCCCTAACCCTAAACCCTAAACCCTAACCTAAACCCTAAACCCTAAACCCTAAACCCCCTAAACCCTACCCTAAACCCTAACCTAAACCCTAAAACCCTAAAACCCTAAACCCTAAACCCTAAACCCTAAACCCTAAACCCCTGAACCCCCCCCCCCCCCAACAAAAAAAAAAGACTCCCGAGAGTCGGCCCCGAGGTGAACGGCCGACTGCTGCAAGATGCGCAGGAGAGTTTAGGGTTTAGGGTTTAGGGTTTAGGGTTGAGGGTTGAGGGTTTAGGGTTTAGGGTTTAGGGTTTAGGGAGAGCGCCGTGTTCTCTGAATGTCTGGCCCCTTCGTTGGGTTCAGGGTGCAGGGTTTCGGGTGTAAGGAAGACTTGGAAGGGGGGAGGGGGGGGGGCGGGGGCGGGGGCGGGGTAGTCTTAAAAACCCTAAACCCTAAACCCTAAACCCTAAACCCTAGACCCTAAGCCCTAAACCCTAGCCCCCAAACCCTAGAATAGGCCAGCGACCAGAAGTGGGCACAGCCACCCCCCCCCCCCCACCCACTCCCAGGAGCTTGTGCATCAGGACATGGTTGTGCTCCAATCTTTCAGGCTCGCGCGACCGCGGGTTTCAGGTTTGGGGAGTCTTCGGCCATTTTGGGGCGTAGGTATGGTAACCCTAAACCCTAAACCCTAAACCCTAAACCCTAAACCCTAAACCCTAAACCCTAAACCCTAAACCCTAAACCCTAAACCCTAAACCCTAAACCCTAAACCCTAAACCCTAAACCCTTCAATTCTAAAAACGGGGAGTTAGGGTCCAGGGATCAGGGTTTGGGGCTTTGTGACTATAAGGTTGGTTTGAATCAGCAAGTCAAGCCCTACCTACTGAGAAACCCTAAGCCCTCAACCATCAAAACGCCAAACGCCAAACCCGAAACCCTAAACCCTAAATCCTAAACCCTAAACCCTAAACCCTAAACCCTAAACCCGAAACCCTAAACCCGAAACCCTAAACCCAAAACCCCTTCAGTTTTCAGGTTCCTTGCCTTCACCAAGCTGGATCCGGCTTTGCAAGCCTTGCTCTTTGGCCCCGGGGTGGCAGGCCGGAGAGCCCCAAGAACCCGGGGGTTTAGGGTTTAGGGGTTTAGGGTTTAGGGCTAGGGTTTAGGGTTTAGGGTTTAGGGCTAGGGTTTAGGGTTTAGGGTTTAGGGTTCAGGGTTTAGGAAGAAACTAAAACACCCCACCCGAAGCAACAGGGCCCCTGAACTTTTGGGCCCCTGAACTTTTGAGGAAGCACTTACAGCCTAAGTAAGCCCTACATGGAGATTTTCGATCATAGGGGTACCGTTTTGAGGGTTCCCATAGTAAGATATTACGGGTCATGTAGGGACGAACCTGATGTATGCTCCTGGCACGAGGGTATAGAAAGCCTAGTGCATCTACTTGAGAAGGTCCATGGTCGCCTCAATTAGGGTTATATGTGCCTCTCTTACAAGGTTATAAGGTTTCATAGGTATTTCACCTTCTTACATCCCCAGTTCTAACTATTCGAGAGCCTCCAGGCAAAGGGTTGCCCCGGGAGTTGCAGACCCTAAACGAGCCCCGAGCCACTCCAGAGGCTCTGTGGGCCCGCGTGCCCGCCCGCTGCTTCCAGTGGAGGGGCAAAGTGACTTTGTGAAGCAGGCTTCTCTGGCGCGGAGCCTCATCGACGAGGCATCGGCCTTGTCCAGATGCTTATCGCTCGGCTTCACTTACGAGCTCCTCACGCTCGCGCCGGTTCCATCGTTCCAGGAGAGGAGCAAGCAAGGCGCTCCCAGTTTGTGCATCCGCGTGTCGAAGGCCGGCAATGCTCCGGTAGAAGTCGCCCTGTGGGACCTCGGCACTTTTCAAGACCGGCTGAACCTCCTGCGGCAGGCACGTCAGAGCTCGACTCTTCGCACAGATCGTCCTGGGGAAGCGGGTGTAGTAGTCGCAGTGCCGGAGCCGTGGCACAGGCTGTCGTATTCCCAGGGCAAGCTGATGTATCCACTCCAGCAAGCACCCGTTCTTGCAAAGCCAGTGCCAGTCAGCCACCAGAATGGTGTTGCGTGTACTCAGGGTGCTCCACTTCCGGTGCGGTTGCTCTCGCCCTGCCCTGTGAATCCCCAAAGGGGCTCACAGGGACCGGCTCTTATACCCTTGTTGCTGCAAGGTTCAATCCCCAAGGCAGGCGACAGGCTAACTTCGGTGGCGTCACCTCTCACCGAGCCCATCGCCACACTCTCACCACCTGCCTCGGCGAGAACAATGTCACCAACCTCGGCGAGACATATCTTCGAAATCTGACATGGCGGCTTGGATTCTATAAGGGGTACCCTTTTGAGGGGACCATTGTAATCAACTACTCTTAGATGGATGGAGCCTAGCAGATTCTGTCCTCAGCTTTGACGTCGTGCTTTCAAGTCACCTTTCTGTCCCTTTGCAACCCCCTCTACATCCTGCTACTTTTCCTGTACTGTTTTCTCTGCTTGCTCATCCGAAAACCCTAAACCCTCAACCCTAAAACCTAAACCCTAAACCCGAAACTCCAACTTTCTCACCATCTGTCGGTTCTTACTCCAGCTGCCCAGGTCACGCCTCAGATCGGCTGCGAGGTGTGAACAGCAGGTTGAAGCCTCCGCCAGCCCTTTGTGGCCCTGAACCCGTCGGCGGTGCCTACTTTTCAAGAGGCCCACGACGTGGGCAGTTCTCTAGAATAGGGTCCCTCTTCTTGGGTCCTCTACATGGAACAGCACCCTTACAGCTTGAAGGACCCCCCAAACAGGGACCCTGTTTTAGAAAACTCGCCAATGTACATCTCCCCCTTTTGCAGGCCTTGCAGTATAATAACAATGTGGCCACGACTGAAGGCCCTTGTACTGCAAGGTCTCCAGGTTTCAGCAGCGCGAAAGGGCTTGCGGTGGAGCCAGTAGGGGGTCTTCGGTAAGCCTATGTATGCTTCTAAGCCGAAGCCCCTGAACCTAAACCCCGGTAGCCCCCAAATCCTGAACCCCCAGCCCCTAAACCCGAATCCCAAAGCCCCATAAGCCTCCAAATCCTGAACCCCGGTTTTAGCGTTTCGGGCCAGGGTTGCTTGAAACGTAGCATAAGAGGTGAGAGATTTGCAAATAGTGTTAGCTGCCAACGCAGCAGAGCATTCGGCTTAAAACTCTCAACCCCAAGCCCTGAACACCGTCCCTTAAACCCTCAAACCTCAAACCCTAAACCCTAAACCCTAAACCCTAAACCGTAAACCCTAAACTGCAGAATGTTTGGGCTCAGATACACCGAGCCCCCTGTAGCAAGAGCCTGGCGAGGCCTTGCAGGAAATCCGCCCAAATGCGGTGGTGGGGAATCATCCTGGGTCTGCTTCCAGGATGGCTTTTTAAACCCTAAGCCCTAAACCCAAAACCCTAAACCCTAAACCCTGCACCCTTTGGGGGCTACTTGGGGGGGATGGGAGGGAGTCGGGTTTGGGGTTTAGGGTTTAGGGTTTAGGGTTTAGGGTTTAGGGTTTAGGGTTTAGGGTTTAGGGTTTGGGGGCATTGGGGTTTGAGGGGTTTAGGGTTTAGGAACGTTTTGGGGGACGTTAGGGGCTACTGCGGGTGAAAGGGGCGGGACTCAGGGCTTGGGGGGTTTAGGTTTTAGCAACGCTTTTTGCTTTTCAAAATCCGGCCACAGCGTGGAAGTGGAAGTAGATAGTCCCTCCGAACACCACCCTAAACCCTAAACCCTAAGCCCTAAAACCCTAAACCCTAAACCCTAAACCCTAAACCCTAAACCCTAAACCCTAAACCCTAAACCCTAAACCCTAAACCCTAAACCCTAAACCCTAAACCCTAAACCCTAACATGGCAACGTCGTGCTTCCTTGCTGAGGCTCTGCGCCGATGCGGAAAGCTTGGTGGACACCTCGTCCTGGGTGGGCGCCGAATACCAGCCCTCTAAGAGCAGCAACCAGGACTGACCGCTATCTGAACCCCCTAAGCCCCAAGCCCTAAGCCCTAAGCCCTAAACCCTAAGCCCTAAGCCCTAAACCTTAAACCCTAAACCCTAAACCCTAAACCCTAAACCCTAAACCCTAAACCCCAACCCCAAACCCCAAACCCCAAACCCCAAGCACGTCACTCGCACGCCTCTTTGTGGAGCCATTCTTGACGGGCCCGTTTTTTCACATGAAGTGGTTGTTTCCAGTCAAAGGCTCGAGAGAGCGTGCACATGCTGCGTGAGAATCCTCGAGGCGGAGGCAAAAAGTATGTTATGTTCTGTCGCTCAAAAGTCGTGAGCGCAGTCAAAGAGACCGCGGCCATACTCATAGTGAATGTGTGACTCGATGATGGAATGTCTCATAAAGGTCATTTCTTATGCCTGAAAACAGTGAACGAAGCTACGCAGAATCACTAAGGAAGACATTGTTCCCTCCCGGTTTACAAGTCAAAGTAGCTCAACTTAATTCGCGACACGGCTGGAGCCGCAAGAATCCAATGTCAGGTTCTTCATGCTGTACAGTATGTATTGAACTCGCATTAGCTCCACCTTGTCTGGGTCTTTTGTTGTTTGGTGTCTTCTTCCGAAAGAGCTATCAGGATTTCTCGCGGCACGCCGATGTAGACGGTTTCCGTGTGTCCACGCGTAGAAGATGGGTGATGCCCGATGCTTGCAGTATCTTGAGCTGCATGCCTTCGGCCAAGCGGCCGAGCCTTATATCCTATGTGACAGGGTTCATATTGCTGTTCTTGGTGGAGGGTTTAGGGTTTGTATTGCTGTTCTTGGTGAGCATATATGGAGTTTTGTTATACATGTTCCCCTAAACTCTAAACCTAAACCCTAAACCCTCTCCATGATTAGAAGCCCCGACTTTCCAGGACTGGCTTCAGCACTGGGACATGTACAAAGCAGACGTCCAACGGGAGATCCCGCTAATCAAGCGAGCTCTATCCTTCACTGCCTTTCGCGTGTTTCTGCATTCGATGATGCTCGGCTTAGGGCAGTTCTTAAGCAAGTGATCTACTACCCTCAAACCCGAACCCTATTTAAACCCTAAACTCTAAACCCGAAACCTTAACCCGGACGACTCTGCAGCCTTCCCCTTCCGAGGATTTATTTCGCCTCTCCGGAGACCTTCCTGAAGACCCTGGACGCTAGGTAGGCCCTTGGGACATTTTAGTTTTTCCCTTGTTTTGGCTTAAGAGGACCCATATTTAGGAAGATTTTCTCTTACTTGGGCTTGATCCATATTCAGGAACATTTTACAATTTTCAGAGGGCTTTTAAGGGTTTAGGGTTTAGGGTTTAGGGCTATTCAGGGCCATCCTAGGAAGAGTTCCTGGACATCTGCCATGCCAATGGCATTGGAGTCGGCTTCGTGTTCTTCGATGACTGCTGGCATCACAGTGGCTTGGACCTGCAGTGGCCAGGCTGCATGACCCATGGGGGCTTTGGGAGATTTCCTGCTCTGGAGTTTAGGGTTTTGGTTCTGGGGTTCAGGGTTTAGGGTTTAAGGGTTTCACGGTTTAAGGGTTCAAGGGTTTAGTTAGGGTTAGGGGGCCTTTGGGGGGTTTAGGGTTGAGGGTAGCCGGCCTGGACTTAGCTGCTGGGCATCTGTAGAAGGCTTCCCGCTAAACCCTAAACCCTAAACCCCCTAAATCCCCTAAACCCCCTAAACCCCCTAAACCCCCTAAACTCCCTCAGCCCCCTAAACCCCCTAAGCCCCCTAAACCCCCTAAACCCCCTAACCCCCTAAACGCCCTAAACCCCCTAAACCCCCTAAACCCTAACCCTAAACCCCAAGCCCTGAACCCTAAACCCCAAGCCCTAAAATCCTGGCTGGAGGAAGCCGTGCTTGCCGACGAAGGGGCTTCACAACGACTGCTGGATGGCCAGCCCGCAAGACGTGGAGAGGCTTCTTTGGATGCAGCTTAGGGCTTAGGGTTCAGGGTTTAGGGTTTAGGGTTTAAGGTTAGGGCTTCGGCCGCAAGATGTGGAGAGCTTTCTTTGGATGCAGTTTAAGGCCCTAGTTTTGGGTCGAGCGCATCCCAAGAAATTGGCGGTTTCTAGGTTGCAGGCCCTAAACCCTAAACCCAACCCTAAACCCTAAACCCTAAACCCTAAACCCTAAACCCTAAACCCTAAACCCTAAACCCTAAACCCTAAACCCTAAACCCTAAACCCTAAACCCTGAACCCTAAACCTCTCTTACTATATATATTAAAACCCTATACACCTTGGTGGCTAAGGGTCATTTCTTCGTGGCTAAGGGCCATTTCTTCGTGGCTAAGGTCATTTCTTCGTGGCTAAGGGTCATTTCTTCGTGGCTAAGGGCAATTTCCTCGCTAAGGGCCATTTCTTCGTCGCTAAGGGCCATTTCTTGGTCGCTAAGGGCCATTTCCTGGGTGCTAAGGGCCATTTCGTCGTGGCAAGGGTCATTTCTAAGGGTCATTTCTAAGGGTCATTTCTTCGTGGCTAAGGGTCATATCTTCGTGGCTAGGGGCTCCCTCCCATCTGGCCCCCCCTCCCCCCCCTCCCCCCCCCCCCCTCCTCCCCCTCCCCCCCCCCTCCCCCCCTCCCCCCCCCTCCCCCCCCTCCCCCCCCCCCCCTCCCCCCCCCCTCCGCCCCCTCCCCCCCCCACCCTTCCCCTTTTTGTTGCCCTGGCCTTCTTCTGGTGGCCTGTCTGCGGGCCGATGAAATGGTTCGTGGGTAGGATGGTCCATGACAGAGTGAGGTTGGAGGACAGGGCTTGCTGATGAAAAATGTAAACTTTTTATTTCTTAATGTGTTGGGTTTTTTGGGTGGGTGGGTTTTTTTTCGAGAGCCCAAACAGCGGCTCTACTGGAGATTGCTCTGGAGATTGCTCGACCCGGAGTTGCTGAACCCTAAACCCTAAATCCTAAACCCTAAACCCTAAACCCTAAACCCTAAACCCTAAACCCTAAACCCTAAACCCGAAATCCGAAACCCGAAACCCGAAACCCTAAAAAGAAGAGGCAGAGCAAAGAACTCTCCCCTAAGCCCTGAGGTACCTGGGCGTGGAGCATTTCAAGCCGTACGTTCAGGACGGGCTTGGGCTCAGCCAGCAGACTTCTGCGGAGGGTGCGGTGGGGGGTATCTTTGAGGTTTAGGGTTTAGGGTTGTCGGTTTAGGGTTTCGGGTTTGGGGTTCAGGGACTTTGGGCGTGTTTAGGCTAGGCTGCTTCCCGTTGATCGTGTTGCCACAGATGGTGCCCTGGTTGAATTTAGCTAAGTGCTAGGCCCTAAGCTCCCTAAACCTAAATCGGAAACCCTAAACCCCTCAAAATCCTCAGCATCATCTCTATTTCTATTGAAGAGCGCTTGCTCTGACGCAGAGCAACCCAAAACGCAAGACGTTTGGTTCTGGGGTGTAGAGCTTGAAGGGTTTAGGGTTTAGGGTTTTGGGGTTTTGGGGTGTTGAGGTTTGGGGTTTAGGGTTTAGGGTTTAGGGTTTTGGGGTTTTGGGGTTTTGGGGTTTAGGGTAGGGTGTAGAGCTTGAAGGGCTCAAAGGCCCCAAGGTTGCAGGGATTTAAGGGTTGATGGTTTAGGGCTGAGGGTTCAAGGGTTGTTCATGGATTCAAGGAGTTCGGCTGGGGGGAGGGGTGGAACATGCTAGGCCGCCGACATCCAACACGACTGGTGTACTTGGAAGTTTCAAGTAGGAAAACTCGTGTTCCAGGTAGTTCTGGCTTAGTAAGTAGGGTACTTAGAGATATAAGTATGGAAATTCTTCTCAGTGTTATAGCTGCCTAAGCCTTAGTCCTAAACCCTAAGCCCTACTTACCCATGAAGGGTTTTATGGTGCTTAGGGGATCCCTAGGTCGGGGATCTCAGGAACCCAAAGGTGGGTTTAGGGTTTAGGGTTTAGGGTTTCGGGGGGTTTAGGGTTTTAGGGTTTAGGGTTTCGGGGTGGGATTTAAAGTTTTAAGGGTTTAAAAGTTCAGGTTTTTTGGGGGGTTTTGATGTTTTGGGGTTTAGGGTTTAGGGCTTGGGGCGCAGGACCTGGTGAGAAAGTTTGGACAAGACCCTCGTGTTCTTTGGTGGGAGATCATCAACGAACCTGGCATAAGGAAGCACCCCTACCCGCAAGGCAACTTGGTGCTCGGTGTTTGGGGGCGGTTTAGGGTTTGGGGTTTAGGGATTAGGGATTGGGGTTTAGGGTTTTAGGGGAAACCCTCAAACCTGTAACCCTCGACTCTTACCTCAAGACCCAGGCAACTTCTCCGAAGCACTGAGGGCGGCTGCCTTCCACTGGTGCAAGGCTTGACATATCGGTTGCACCCATGAGGGTTTAAGGTTTTAAGGTTTAGGTGTTTGGGGTTTGGGTTTAGGGTTTAGGGTTTAGGGTTTAGGGTTTGGGGTTTAGGGTTTAGGGTTTGGGGTTCAGGGTTTAGGGTTTAGGGTTTAGGACCTCATGGGTTTAAGGTTTTGGGCATCGGTTAAGGGCTTCGGGTTTTCAGGGGGTTCAGGGTTGTCCCCGAACCCTAAGCTCTAAGCCGTAAGCCCTAAGCCCTAAGCCCTAAGCCCTGAGCCCTAAGCCCTAAGCCCTAAGCCCTAAGCCCTAAGCCCGAAGCCCTAGCCCAAAGCCCTAAGCCCGAAACCCAAAACCCTAAGCCCTAAACCCTAAACCCTAAACCCTAAACCCTACACCACCCCTCAGCCGCTTCGCTGGCAAAAAACGAGGACCTCTCCCCTCGTCAGCCCGTGATCAGCTGCTGGAACGAGGCGGACGACACCACGAGGCGCGCGGACGTGGGATTTAGGGCTTAGGGGTTTAGGGTTTAGGGTTTGGGGTTTAGGGTTGAGGGTTTAGCGTTTAGGATTTGGGGTTCCCAAACCCTAAACCCCCCAAACCCTAAACAACAAACCCCAAGACCCCAAACCCTAAACCCTGAAACCCTGAAACCCTGAAACCCTGAAGCCCCCATGAGCTCCCTAAACCCTAAACCCTAAACCCTAAACCCTAAACCCTAAACCCTAAACCCTAAACCCTAAACCCTAAACCCTAAACCCTAAACCCTGAACCCTGAAACCTGAACCCTAAACCCCTCCCTTAAGAAAGCTAGAAGACAAGGGAGGTGTTCACCGCCAAGGCTTCAATCCATGATCCAGTCAAGGTCGGCGGACCCTAAACCCTAAACCTCGGCCCCAACTGAACCCTAAACCCTAGCCCTAAACCCTAAACCCTAAACCCTGAACCCTAAACCCTGAACCCTAAACCCTGAACCCTGAACCCTGAAACCCAAAGACCCAAAACTCTAAGCCTTTGGTGCGCTCAGGGGTACGAACACCAGCATCTCAAACTCTGAGCTGCTTCTCGGGCAGCATTCTCCTTTTCGTTCTCGGTGGCATGTAGGGTTTAGGGGACATGCAATTTAGGGGACACAGTGTTTCGGGTTTAGGGTTTAGGGTTTAGGGCTAGTTTAGGGTTGCTTGGAAGCATGCGAGTGGCATCGCCAAGTCGGTGTCAAGGGAAGACTTGTAGGAAGGCCTTTAAGACCTTATGACCTTCAACCCTGAAGCCTTTGAAAACCCGCAGGGCATGGCTTCAACCCTAAACTCTAAACCCCTAACCCCAAACCCTAAACCCCCTACTGTACCAGGGGTGTAGTCCGGAAGCCCAGTCGAACCCCAGGAACGATGCTCACCAGTACAACGTGCCTTGGAACGGAACCTCGAATGCTGCCGCGCAGCTGCACGGGCAGAATCTGCGTTTGGATCTTTGGGTTGAGGGTCTCAGGGTTGAGGATTCAGGGTTGCGGGCTTCATTCAAAGGCTTCGGGTTTGAGCCTCAACCCGAAACCCTAAACCCCATGACCCGAAACACGGCGGAAATGGATTCAGTTTCGACAAGAGGTTCGTGGTTCCCACAAGTAGTTGGGGTTTGGGTTTTAGGGTTTAGGGTTTAGGGCTTAGGGTTTAGGGTCTAGGGAATAGAACCGTAATGCTCATGTTGACGACCACAACGGGAAGTATAATCCTAGGGCTTAAACGCCCCCCCCCCCCCCCCCCCCCCAATTCCAAACACCCCCCCCCCCAACAAGCTCCTGGAGTCCTGGGTCTCAAACAAACCTAAACCCTAAACCCTAAACCCTAAACCCTAAACCCGAAACCCTAAACCCTAAACCCTAAACCCTAAACCCTAAACCCTAACCCTAAACCCTAAACCCCTAACCCCAAACCCTAAACCCCAACTCACCCAAACCCCTAGACCCCAAACCGCCCGAAACAACCGAAGCCGAACCCTCCAGCCCTCAGAGCCCCCCCCCCCCACCCCCCCCCCCCACAACAAAAACAGAAGGAAAAATAAAGCAAATGAAAAGCAACGTCCTAAACCCTGGTCACATCTTAAACCCCCCGGCACCCCTGAGCCCGAAACCCTAAAACCCAAAACCCTCAACCCTCAAGAAAACCTTCAACCGTGGACCCCAAACTCCCCCTAAAACCCTAAACCATAAACCCTAAACCCTAAACCCTAACCCCTAAACCCAACCCTAAACCCAGGTCTTCCAAAACTTGACGGGCAAGATGAAGGGCGGTCTGGTTACGGAAGCTGGCGCCCGGTGGTATCAAGGTCCTGGCGGAGAGTTCAGGGACCCTAGGCCCTAAACCCTAACCCCTAAACCCTAAACCCTAAGCCCTAAACCCTAAACCCTAAACCCTAAACCCTAAACCCTAAACCCTAAACCCAAAACCCAAAACCCTAAACCAAAAACCCTACACCCCAACCCCTAAACCCAAAACCCAAAACCCTAAACGGTTTAGGGTTCCTGGACTCTAAACTCCCCAAACTGATTGTTTTGATGACGCAGGTGTTTAGGGTCTAGGGTTTAGGGTGTAGGGTTTAGGGTTTAGGCTTTAGGCTTTGGGGTTTAGGGTTCATGTGGCTTTTTGCTCCCTGCAAGGCTACCCCACGGATGACGGCTCCCCCTTGACGGTGGTGGACTGGCTCCTTGCTGGTGCTTGGGTTTAGGGTTTAGGGTTTAGGGTTTAGGGTTTAGGGTTTAGGGTGGGGGGTTTAGGGTTTAGGGTTGAGGGTTTAGGGCTTAGGGTTTAGGGCTTAGGGTTTAAGGGTTTTTCAGGGGAGGTGGAGGGGTAATTGTGGGAATCCTTGTGCCAACACCAAACACCTGTCTCCACTCCCCTTGCAAGAAACCCTAAACCCTGAACCCTAAACTCTTAAGCTTAAGCCTGAGTGCTCAGCTTAAGCCTTCTCACGTACAGGAGCGTAACACACCTTGACGGGAATGTAAACAAATGACCTTCTAGTCTTACCTAGAGGTAAATGGTAATTATAGAATATAATTACAGCCATTTACAGGTAAGTGCATGTCTGTATACAAATATTCATTAATATCCCTATATCTATATTTCTGTAGGCGGTACTGTCAGAATTAATACAAGTATTATTGGTAGCCCTAAACCCAAGTCGTCAAACCCGGATCAAAAAATGGACCCTCGAGTGCTCGTGGCCAGCCAAAGGCCCGGAGCCAAAAATTACTCGGGAACACCGCTTTTTTTTTGTTTGGCCTTTTTCTCTGTGTGGGGCCTCCGGAATAAGCTATTTCGAAGGTCTGAAGGAGGCTGAAAGCTTTTTCGAAGGTCCCAGGGAAGCTCCGTGGGGGGGGGGGGGGTACCCCAGGATTCGGGAAAAATGGCTCGATTCCCAGTTAATTTTAAATAGATTTTATATAGCGGAAATGACCCCCTCATTTTCTAAAATTCTGGCCTTCTTGTGGGGTATCCCAGGAGATAGTAAGCTCCCCTTGGCCCTGTCAAGCCCGGATCAAAAAATGGACCCTCGAGTGCTCGTGACCAGCCAAAGGCCTGGAGCCAAAAATCACTCGAAAACAGCGCGTTTTTCATTGTCTGGCCTTGCTTGGAGAGAAAAATTCCTGCGTGGGGTACCCCCACAGGAGGGGGTAAGCCCTCCTAAGCCACCCAAAGGCCTTAGCAAAGCCGACTTTCTAGTCTTACCTAGAAGTAATGGTAATTATGGCACATAATTACAGCCATTTACTGTGATTGTCTGTATACACATATTCTGTAATATCTTTACCAGACAGTACTTTCAATATTAACGACGCTTAAGAATTTAAGCGTCTTACAGATGCTTTGGGTGGCATCCTGGGGTGGGAGAAAGTAGAGCTCCATGTACATGACGGAACCCTTTTGCGCTGAAGGTTTCGGACGTCCGTCTCTCTTTCCACACACTACGCATGTTAAATCGACAAACCCTAAACCCTAAACCCTAAACCCTAAACCCTAAACCCTAAACCCTAAACCCTAAACCCTAAACCCTAAACCCTAAACCCTAAACCCCTCTGAAGCACTCTGCAAGGCTCACAAAGCTGCGTGGAAACCCTGGCGCCAAGTTCGTCCCCGGCGTGATGCTCGACTGGGAGGCGGGGCCGCTGCAGATCCCTTTGTGTTGACGTCATTTTTCTTGGTTTAGGGTTGAGGGTTTAGGGTTTAGGGTTTAGGGTTTAGGGTTTAGGGTGTGGGGTTTAGGGTTTAGGGTTTGGGGTTTGGGGTTTGGGTTTAGGGTTTAGGTTGCTTGCTGACTTTTCTTCGCGTAAGCTGCTTTTCGATCCCTTTTTGGGTGGGAAATTTTGGGGTTGGAGTTGGGGGGGTGCGGGTTTTAGGGTTTTGGGGGCGAAGGGTTTTGGGCTTTTGGACAGAGGCTCATCTCCACCCCGTTTCTATGCCAAAACGCTGCCCGACTAGGTCATGGTGAGCAATAGCAACACGCGCTGGCATTGGTTCACTCCGGCCAATGCCGCGGAGCCAGCAATTCCGTGGCATCAGCGCCTTGACCATGATGTTGAGGCTCTGGCAGGGGGGGCTCAGCCCTAAGCCATATGAATCATATAATAGTTGCCAACCTGTGAAACAGCACGGTACGCGCCCCATCCACGAAGACGCGGGTACAGAATGCCTTGGAACTACAGGGGCCATCGGATTTGTAGCTTTAGTACCCCCAAAGTAGGACCCTAGGACCTAGATGTAAGGGCTCCAGAGGGGGATGCTCCTGAAACAACAAGACTCAGACCTCCAGCCGCAAGCCCCCCAAAGCCCCAAAGCCCCAAAGCGCCAAAGCCCCAAAGCCCCAAAGCCCCAAAGCCCTAAACCCTAAACCCTAAACCCTAAACCCTAAACAAGCCTTGTAGCCAGCTGCTGAGGCATCTGTTCCCTGATGGTAGCCCGGTGAGCTACACTGAAGCTGCAGCCATCCGCAGATATATCACCGGCAAGGACACCGAAGCCCTAAACCCTAAACCCTAAACCCCAAACCCTAAACCCTAAACCCTGAGCCCTAAACCCTAAACCCTAAACCCTAAACCCTAAACCCTAAACCCTAAACCCTAAACCCTAAACCCTAAACCCTACACCCTACACCCTAAACCCTAGACCCTAAACCCTAACCCCAACCCTAAACCCTAAACCCTGAACCCTGAACCGAAACCCTAACTTTCGCAAAAGAGGCAAGGCCAACACACATGCAGTTGAAGCGAGGTTAGGTTTCAACTTTGTAGCCCTGGAAGGAATTGGTTAGGGGGCGAAGCTGCTATGCGAAACCCTTGAACCCGAACCCAACCCCAAGCACTGTGCCTTAGATTTGAAGGCCCCTAGGCCCCTCCCACCCAAACGCTAAAATCCTAAATTCCCCCAAGATTGAAAGCCTAAACCCTAAATCCTAAGCCCTGAAGCCTACACCCTATCCATAAATTTACTCCAAAGGAGGTACCGCCCCTCTTTGCGCAACATGTTTTTAGGACCCAGTGATAGTGCCCATGAAGCCCGACAGTTGCCAGGCCCTGAAGATCAACATCGTCTGGGGTTTCGGCTTTGAGGGTTTAGGGTTTAGGGTTTCCGGGCTTCCAGTATAGGGTTCAGGGGTTGGGGACTAGGGTTTAGGGTTTGGTTCATGCATGTAAGGTCGTGTGAACGTGTTCTGCCCACCCACCACCCGACTCGTCACCTACAAAAAAAGGTGCAAATTTCGAGGCAACAACAGGTAAGGGCTCATAAGAAGCTCCGACCTGACTCCTGCAGTTCGGTTTTACGGTTTAGGCTTTCGAGTTTAGGGCATCGGGCCCCACGCAGGACGACTTCATCTACTTCGACGACTTCCTGAAGGACTCGAACCCGAACAGCGACGAGAGGTTCTACGTGTAGCTGGGCCCTGCGCAGTACAGTTCAGGTCAGCTCTCAAAAAAAGTACCCTAACCAGTAGGGGCCGCCTTCTACTAGAAACCCCCCAAAAGGGACCATAATCTAGAAGTGAACAGATCAAATCCCAGCCCCACCCCCCCCCCCCCGCCCCCACCCCCAAAAAACATAACCCAACACCCTGCCCCCCCCCCGCCCAGCCGCAGCCCATAGACTCGCGAGCCCCCAAACCGGCCCTTGCCGAGGTTGTCCGAGAACGCTTTCCGTGTACCGCTGCCAGGGACACTCCACGAAGCGTTGGTGTCTCTTCGAAAGTACAAGCGGTTTAACCTCAAGACACTAGACCACCGACAGTGGACGTTCAGAGCCACCAAACCTCTAACCAAAGCCCTAGCACCCTAAACCCGAAACCCCGAAACCGCTACACTCCTAAAACACAAACCCTAGACCCCTAACCCCCAGAACCCTAACCCCAAGCCCTAAAGCCTCTAAACCTGCAAACGCCCGGGGAAGGGGGAACCATCAGGGCTGTTTGGGTGTGGTCGAGATGCTAAGCCTTGAGCCCTTAACGCTGAGCCGGGTGTTTAGAGTTTCGGGCTTTGTGTGTTTTTCGGGTTTAGGGTTTTAGGGTTTAGGGTTTTAGGGTTTTTAGGGTTTAGGCTTTTAGGGTTTTAGGGTTTAGGGTTTATGGTCCGGGGTTTCGGGCCCCCCCGAAAAGGTTGAGATGGCGGTGTGGCCAACCCCCCTGAGCACCGCCGCTCGTCCGCTCGTCTTGGGAGAGTGGGTTTGGGGTTTGTTTGGGTTTTGGGCGCTCTGTGTTCTCTATGGGGAAGGCGGTTGCAGCCTTGGGATTGTTGAGTTGCATTTATTGGTTTCAGGGGTGTTAATGTCTTTGGCCTCTGGTTTCGGGGCCTTTTGCCTGCAGGTTTTTTTTCTGTCGGCGTGACACTCCAAAGCGCAAAAGCGCAAAACTCTCAACCCTAAACTCCAAAACCCTGAGCCTCAAAGCCCAAACCCTAAGCCCCAAGCCCTTAGCCCTAAACCCTAAACCCTAAACCCTAAGCCCGAAGCCCTAAGCCCTAAGCCCTAAGCCCTAAGCCCTAAGCCCTAAGCCCTAAGCCCTAAGCCCTAAGCCCTAAGCCCTAAGCCCTAAGCCCTAAGCCCTAAGCCCCAACACCAACGCCTAAGGCCCTAACCCCAACACCCCAGCACCCCAACACCCCAACTAAACCCCAAACCCTAAACCCTAATTCCTAAACCCTCCGTAGGGATCGGTCCTCAAAACCGCGCGTGCGGCCCGAAGAATGCCTGAAACCCGAAACTCTTATCGCCCTATTCTCCTTGTAGCCCAAACCCTAAACACCTAAACTCCCAGAAGCCCTAAGCCCCTAAACCCCTGAGTCCTTAAAAGTCACCAGAAAGCCCTAACCCTAAACCCTAAAGCCAAAAACCCCAAACCCCAAACCCCAAACCCCTAAACCCCAAACCCCAAACCCCAAACCCCAAACTCCAAACCCCAAACCCTAAACCCTAAACCCTAAACCCTAAACCCTAAACCCCAAACCCTAAACCCTAAACCCCTAGTAGGGGTCAGTCCTTAAGAGCCCCTGAGGTGGTTGCGAAGCTGGGCACCCTGGAGGTGCGATTGGACGTGCCACGCGCGCAGCTGAGCCTCGTGGGGCACCGGAACTTCAGCACCGCAGCGCTCGCGCCTCGGTTTTTTTTGTTTAGGGCTTGGGGCCCTAAACCCTAAACCCTAAACCCTAAACCCTAAACCCTAAACCCTAAACCCTAAACCCTAAACCCTAAACCCTAAACCCTAAACCCTAAACCCTAAACCCTAAACCCTAAACCTAACCCTAAACCCTAAACCCTAAACCCTAAACCCTAAACCCTAAACCCTAAACCCTAAACCCTAAACCCTAAACCCTAAACCCTAAACCCTAAACCCTAAACCCTAAACCCTAAACCCTAAACCCTAAACCCTAAACCCTAAGCCCGAAGCCCGAAACCCGAAACCCTGAACCTAAACCCTGAACCCTCGAACGTCAAGGAGTGCGGGGTGCTGTCCAGCAGCATCACGGCGACTCCCAAGCGTGCCGCCTGGAACATGCTCCGCGTGCTTGTCAAGGCAGGCCGCGTGGCGGCCCCTTGCCGAGAATTTAGGGTTTAGGGTTTGGCGTTTAGGGTTTAGGGTCTTCGTGTCCACAGCGCCGGTTTATTGGTTTCGGGTTTAGGGTTTAGGGTTGAGGGTTTAGGGGTTGAGGGGTTAGGCCTTCGGGCTCAGGGATTCTTAACTCTCAGGCATCCTGCGTGATTACGCAGAAACTGATTTTTAAAGGTACCTTAAAAGTGGGTTTAGGGTTAGGTGCCCTAACAGCCCTGCAGAAAGTCTTGGATGCTCAGGGTTGGGTTTGGAGTTGCGGGAAACCTGGAACCCTCAACCCCAAACCCTCAACCCTCAAGCCTAAACCCAAAGGAAGGGGTTTTCAAGCCTCAAGCTTTTTGGCGTGCGGGGTTTCTCCTCGACCCCCCCCCCGCTAAGCACGCAAGCTTCCGCGCTTGCAGATAAGCGGAGACGCCCTAAAAACATCGAAAAGTCGAAAAGTCGAAAAGTTGTCGAAGTGCGCTTCAAGGTTCTTAGGGTTTAGGGTTTAGGGTTTAGGGTCTAGGGTTCAGGGCCTTCGGGTTTCAGGGATTTAGGGCGCTGGGGTTTGAGGGTTCTTAGGGCTTGAGGGGTCTAGGGTTTCAGGGTTTTAGGACGTAAGCCCTAAGCCCTCAAGCCCGAAGGCCAAGCCCTAAACCCTAAACCCTAAACCCTAAACCCTAAACCCTAAACCCTAAACCCTAAACCCTAAACCCTAAACCCTAAACCCTAAACCCTAACCCTAAACCCTAAACCCTAAACCCTAAACCCTAAACGCTAAACCAGAGAGAGAGAGAGGCTTCAGGCCTGCTTTTTAACGCACCGTGAGGTCTGGCTCAACCCCATGTATCCCGAGGCTGGGAGCTCCGACCCTGTGAGCCTTTAGTTCGGGTTTAGGGTTTAGGGTTTAGGGTTTAGGGTTTAGGGTTTAGGGTTTAGGGTTTAGGGTTTAGGGTTTAGGGTTTAGGGTTTAGGGTGTTTCCCAAGCCCTGCTCAGGGTTTCCCCAAGGTTTTTTTGCAAGCAGACACCGGAGAGCTGTCGTAAGCCCGAAAACCCCCAGCGTCCATGGAGGGGACGTATAATCTTGGGGTTTCGGAATAATTATGAATAGTATTCCCTTCTGGGCCCGTTATAATATAGGGTTTGGGGTTTAGGGTTTAGGTAGGGTTGAAATGTTAAGAACAACTACTAATAGTATTCCCTTATGGTCACTTTATAATACTACTGTAATCCCCCCCCACCCTAAACCCTAAACCCTAAACCCTAAACCCTAAACCCTAAACCCTAAACCCTAAACCCTAAACCCTAAACCCTAAACCCTAAACCCTAAACTCTAAACCCTAAACCCTAAACCCTAAACCCTAAACCCTAAACCCTAAACCCTAAACCCCAAACCCCAAACCCTACCCCCTAAACCCCAAACCCTAAACCCTAAACCCCAAACCGCAAACCCCAAACCCCAAACCCCAAACCCTAAACCCTACCCTTAGGGATGTAAAGAGGCCTTCCCGGACCGGGCGCCCATGCCCTCGGAGCCCTCCCGCACCATCCGGGCTCTTCCTCCCCGCTTCGACGTGGCAGTGGGACAGCCACTCCTTGGTGAGATCCAGGCCAGGGTTTAGGGTTTAGGGTTTCGGGTTTAGGGTTCAGGGTTTAGGGTTTAGGGTTTAGGGTTTAGGGTTTAGGGTTGTGGCTTAGAGGTTAGGGGACCTTGGTGAGATTGGTTAAGCTATTACGGGGGTGTTTCTCCTGTGCAGTTGCATGGGCATCCGTCTGAGACCTAAACTCCCTCAATGCTGAGCCCTCAACCTTGAAAGGCGGAGAGGAATTCGAGCCACTTGAATTCAGGGTGTGGGGTTGAGGGATTTAGGGATTTCGGGCTTTAGGGTTTCGGGGCTCTCAGGGTTCAGGTTTGAGGGTCGGAGGGTCGATTCTTTTAGCAGTGCCGGCGGAGAAAGCCTGGGCTTTAGGGCTCAGACCCTAAACCGCCCTAACCAACCTCTACGCCCTGCACACTACAAACCCTAAACCCTAAACCCTAAACCCTAAACCCTAAACCCTAAACCCTAAACCCTAAACCCTAAACCCTAAACCCTAAACCCTAAACCCTAAACCCTAAACCCTAAACCCCCAAATCCTGCCAGGTGACGGCGGACCAGGGTGCATTGTTGGACTACATTTCGGTCCTCCCCGCGGTGACCTATGGGACTGACTGGCAGCCCTCTGCGGAGGTCTTCACCTGAGAGGGCTCCTAGGCTCCTCGAACTCTTTCAGCCCTAAACCCTAAACCCTAAACCCTAAACCCGAAACCCTAAACCCTAAACCCTAAACCCTAAACCCTAAACCCTAAACCCTAAACCCTAAACAGCCAGGGTTTGGGGTCTAGGCCACCCGAAGAGAGAGTCAGAGGCTGAACCCAAGGATCGCTCCGGCGCTGGAAATTGTGGAGCTTCTTGCGGTTTAGGGTTTAGGGCTTAATTTACTTATGGTTTAGGGTTTAGGGTTTAGGGTTTAGGGTTTAGGGCTAAATGCACAAAAAACCCAATTTAGGGTTTAGGGTTTCGGGTTTCGGGTTTCGGTTTAGGGTTGGGATGTTCCCCCCTTATACTCACAGTCCTTAGTAGGGATTCTCATGAGGGGTACTAGAATCCCTACTAAGGACTGTTAGTATAAGGGAACCCAAGGTTCAGGGCTTGGGGGTTAAGGGTTTAGGGTTTAGGGTTTAGGGTTTAGGGTTTAGGGTTTAGGATTTAGGGCTTGGGGGTTAAGGGGTTAAGTGTTTTCGGGGTCTAAGGGTTTGGGGGTTTAGGGGTTTAGGGAGTTGAGGGGGTTTAGGGTATAGGGTTTAGAGGTTGTTTAGGGGTTTAGGGTTTTGGAGTTTAGAGTTTATGGGTTAAGGGTTTAGGGTTTGGGCCGAAGGGCTTAAGGGCTTTGGGGGCTTTGGATTGTTTTTGGGGCATGGTCATCTGCCAGCCTCCCGGCTAAGAACCTGGCCTCCCTCTTGCCCGGGCACCACTAAAACAACCCATCACATCCGCCTTAGAGAGCTCAGGCACCGAGAATGTCAGCTAGGACCCAGAGTAGGCCCAGGGTTTAGGTTCCCTTACAAGGCCCTCTAAACCTTTAGGGTTTAGGGTTTAGGGTTTAGGGTTTAGGGTTCCTAAGTTAAGGTTGGGTCTAGTCAGGCAAGAGCAAGTTCCCGCACTGTGGGAGATTCGGAGGAATGTGTTCCAGAGTCGCCGCTTCAGCTGCTTTGGCTCATGAGCTTAAACCCTAAGCCCTAAGCCCTAAACCCTAAACCCTAAACCCTGAACCCTAGACCCTAAACCCTAAATCCTAAGCCCTAAACCCTAAACCCGAAACCCTAAACCTTTGTGCACCTTACTCAATGTTGCCGCCTTGGCACGGTCTGAAAGATGAGGACGTTGAGGCTGTCGGGCGCGTCGCTTGCTGCAGTCCTTAAACTCTAAACCCGAAACCCTAAACCCTAAACCCTAAACCCTAAACCCTAAACCCTAAACCCTAAACCCCCCCCCACCCTCAGGGTTCATGATGGTTGCATTCAGACTGTTGTTTCTCGAAACAAGCCTCCCGTCCAGCAGGTCAGCGCGCGGGCGGAGACGGCTTTGCTAATGCACGCCGTTTAGTGCAACACCGGGTGCAGGCCAGACGTCCCAGGGACGGTTTAGGGTTTAGGGTTTAGGTTTCAGGGTTTGGTATCAGGGTGATACTCTATTCATGTGGAGAATTGCTGGTGCTGGCATGATGAACTCGTTGTCGTACTCACGACTCACGGCATCCGCCAGTGTCGGGTTGGCAGGTCAAGCGAGCCTTAGGGTTTAGGGTTTAGGGTTTAGGGTTTAGCCTTACCTGAGATCCAGGCGGAGAAAGGCACCGCCAAAAACGGCGTCGTCTTAGAGGAAGATAGTGTTTCGCAGGGGTTGTTGGGCTTACGAAGTTCAGGGTTTTAGGCCTAGATTTTGGTGTAGCCTACCTCGGTTGAGGTTCTTTGGGCGTAGGGGTTGTATCGGGTTTAGACGGAGGGTCTTGGGTGCGGGCTTGGGACCGCGGCTTCATGGCGCCACCTCGATCGCTGAGTTTCGCAGGTTGTCATGAGAAAACCCATAAGCTCGTTCTGAGGTGAGCAGCAAAAAGAGAAGGTTCAGGGGGGGGTTTAGGGTGTCGAGCTCTCTTTACACCCTGGGGCCCTTCACACCAGGCCGACACCTCGACGAACAAAGCAAGCAGCGCGACCCAGTAGACTACGAAAGGTCATCAACCCAAAGCCCGAAATCTCACACCCTACTACCCCTCCCTCTTTCCGACCCCCCCTAGATTCCCCCCAGAATTCAGGCTCTTGAAGGATTCTGAGCCTAAGTAGAGAAACCCATGATAAAACCCCTCAAAACCCTATGGCCCTGAAATTGTCCAGGCCCGAAATTGGACCCTAAACCCTAAACCCTAAACCCTAAACCCTAAACCCTAAACCCTAAACCCTAAACCCTAAACCCTAAACCCTAAACCCTAAACCCTAAACCCTAAACCCGAAATTGGGACAAGGCCTACTGGACCTGGTTGGCCGAAGCCAAGAAGGCTGGGCTGTCTCTGTGCAGAGTGCTTACGCGGTTTAGGGCTTAGGGACCTTAAGCCCTGAACCCTGAATTCTAGACTGTTAAGCTTTGAAAGGGGTCCTCATCCAATTTCGGCTGTCAGCCCCCCCCCCCCCCCCCCCCCCCCCCCCCCCCCCCCACCCCAACAGTCCCGAGTGCCCTCGCGGATTGAAGCTGTGCGAGTAGTATTCAAAACCCGCTCACATCGCCGCAGTGGCTCAAGCGCAAACCAAGGGTGCAGATCGTTCTAGGTTTTTGCAATCAAGCTTGTTTTGCAGGGTCTGCGCTGAATGGGAGTATGGCGTCTGTGGCTGCGCCCGCATTGCGCGGGAAAGAAGCTGCGCCCGCATTGCGCGGGAAAAGCTTGAAGGACCCAGGCGTCACTGAACCCATTGGGTGGCCCCTGCCGGCCATGAACGAAGGTAGTGAGTCAGGGGACAGCAACAGCAACACGCACACGTCTACCGACACGCTGGCTACAGGCTATGGTTCCTTAAGGAGCGAGGCAACAACGGTGGCCAGCAGGAGTCATCATTGGACATCGACGGCGAGCTATCCATTCTTGCCAGATGTCGTGCAAGAAGACCTGGGCAGATCCTTGCCAAAACGCTTTGGAAATGCACATGCTTTAAACGGGATGGTGCAGTCGCTACAAGTCTTGCAAAGCAACCTAGCACCATCCCCGTCAGAGCTTTGCAGCTTTGCCAGCTTTAAACGGGAGTTTGCCAGCCTGGCAGGATTGATGAAGATTCTGGATCAGGTTGAAGCGCACCTTTCAAGCTTGTCCATGCCCCCCACGACTCCAGTGCTGTTTCGGTACAACAGCTTCTACACGCCCTGCAGCCTGGAGGTATGTGTTGGTCAGAGAGTGGAGTTGTGCCCGCTGGTATCTCACCCACCAGACTCTTATTTTGTCGTTGTTCCGAAGCTTCCGCTCGGAGTAGAGCTCGACGTGCGATCAGGCTTGGTGCATGGCAGGCCACGCGAGCCCACCCCAGGGCAAGTGAAGTACCACGTCGTTGCCCATCACCCGGCGCGATTTCCACCGAAAGCACATGTCGCGTTCATCAAGCTCACGGTCATCACTGGGTGGTGAGCTAGTGACGAAGAGGGTTGAGCGGATGGAGGTGCTTCATCTTGTGATTGAGTTGACAAGTTTACAGCGTGCAGGGGCAGATGGACAGACCACCCCTAAACCCTAAACCCCGAACCCTAAGCCCTAAGCCCTAAATCCTAAACCCTAACATTGGCAGTTCAACAGCTAACACAGGAACTCAATCGGCTGAGGCGCCTCGACACTCAAGCTTCCCCCTTTTCCATCTGGGAGAGTGGCAGAGTTTGAAGTTCCGTGAACCCCCCTGTACCTTTAAAGCTGTGGACCTGGGCTTCTCAAAGCTCATGTAGAAATTGGTTTTGGGGCTTCGGGTTTAGGGTTTAGGGTTTTAGGGTTTAGGGTTTAGGGTTTGGGGCTCAGGGTCTTGGGGCAGGCGACACCGGTTGCCCAGGTCACTCTGTCCGTTTTCTTCTCGCCGCTCTAGCCTGCAGAATCAGCACGAATCGAGGAGTCGGCTGGTCGCTTGTTGGGGTTTAGGGTTTAGGGTTTCGGGTTTAGGGTTTAGGGTTTAGGGTTTCGGGCTAGATGCAGATCAACCACCGCAAATGCTCGGCATCAAGCCCGTAGCGGGGCGGCATCTGTAGAATCGGGCCTAAAATCTGTCGCAGCAATGATTGTTGCCCCCCGCAAGAGTTTGAGCAGAGCTGTGGCCGGTGTTTTTTGCACCCACCGTGGAAGCGCAGAGACTCGTTTCTGGCCTCCTTAGATTAACGCTCGGTCGTTGCTCTTGAGCTGTTTTTTCCGTTGCAAGCATACAAGTATACACGGCTCGCACGAATGCGAATCGAGTCTTTGCCTTGGAGCCGCGGTGAGTGACAAGGGGGTGACATTGGGTGAAACCGTGTCACAGCTGATGATGAGCTGCAATGCCTCCATAGTCGCGTTGGCCAAGGCCGGGCTGTCGCGCAGGAGGATGCAACAGGGGCTGTGTCCCGTTTCACTGCGATTTGGTTGTTGCGATCCAAGTCCAAAGCTTTCTAAGCTTGGCTGGTGCGAAACTCTATCTCCTTTCAGTTTGGGTATGTGAGAGGCACCCGGAAGTAACATTGATCAGAGTCTATAAACCCTAAACCCTAAACCCTAAACCCTAAAGCCTAAAGCCTAAACCCTAAACCCTAAACCCTAAACCCTTATAATTCAAGGGCCGAAGGTTGCCTTTGCAGCCCTGAGCCGCCCCAAGGGGCGTTGAAAGAGACAAAGAGATCTCTGACGTCGTCCAGTAATTCTTCCGGATAAGGGTACTATTGTAGGGTTTAGGGTTTAGGGTTTGGGGTTTAGGGTTCAGGGTTTAGGGCTTAGGAGTTTGAATTCTTGTAGGGTTCCTAAGCAAATAGTAGTCGTGTTTCAGATTCGAGCATGGCCACAAGTGCCCACGGATGCAACCGGTAGTCCCATGGCTGTTATTTTGCCTAAATCCCCTTGGGAATTGTTTTTTGTTTTGTTTATCTAAAACCCCAGAGGATATTAAACATACTATATTTGTTCAGGTTCTAAGGGGCGTATAGTTGCTCCTACCCGT